ACTGAAATATCTCCTCAATCATAACCAGTGGAAATGTGCTATCATCAGGGAGAAATGGGAGGTGGAAATATGACCAGTAGAGTCATGACCTCAAGCCCAAGTTGCAGCGTTTTGCCAAATGTGACAGATTCTGGTATATTTTCTGTCTTTAAGGTGGCCTGGGGTCAAGGCACAAGGTTCAGGAGGAAATTAACAGAGAATACAAGAAAGTACCATCTGACAAATGGTGATGACCTTTGTGAATTCAGTCATGATTTCAATTTAGAATATAAACAATTTTTGGACAGGGACTGTATCTCATTTATCTCTGTAGCCCTAAGTCTATTAACTAATTTTAAGCACACACGTTGAGCTAGGCCTGTGCTGGTCAGTGGAGACACAGTTGAATAAGGCATAGCCCTTGCACACAAAGGGCTAAAAGTATTTGAGAGACATTTGCTAACTTAATTTAATCATGTATATAGTAAAGAATTTGGTCTTGCCCAAAGATTAATCTGGCTTTGTCCCCCCACTCCTGGAAGATAAGTCTAAGTTCTTGGAATTTCCTAAGTAATAGGAGTGTCTTTTTATTTGTGGTGAGAGCCCCTCAGATCACATTTGATAATATATGCTGATGAGGTGACTCACAGTGGTCCCTGGGGCCACATGGTATTAACCTGACTTTCATGGATGGGGATGCTAGAGATCAACTTCAAGCAGGTGGTCAATCAGTCAAGCATGCCTACGACATGAAAGCCAATGAAACTGTGAAAAATGAATCTCAGATGAGCTTCCCTGATTGGCACCATGTGTACTGTTACATATGGATGCTGGGAGGTTAGGACAATGGAATCTTCATGTTTGGAATACTCCCAGACTCTGCCCTGTGCATCTCCTTTGGTTTATTTTTTATTTGTATCCTTTCCTATAATGCATCTGTGAGTATAACAGCTTGCAGTAAAGTATGTGAGTCCTTCCAGAGAATTCTTGGGAACTCTCTGAACTTTCTGTTCGTGTCAGGAGTGAGGGCAGTATTGTAGACAACTGTACTCTCAGACTTTGCAATTGGGCAAACTCCAGGTTTCACGTGACCTTAGAATTGAAAGGGATCTAAATATCTCTGATTCAACTTAATTCTATAAGTGAGGAACCAGAGGTCTAGAGCTAGACCTCGGGTTCCAAGGTCACATAATGTTATGACACAATAGGACTAACCCCTGAGTATCCTGACTCCCAGCACGGTGTGTTTTCCACAATATCCTGTTGTAGTTTTGAATGTGATCTGAGCAGAGAAAAGCTTATCCTTGAGTCAGTCTGGCTTTACTACAAGGGATTTTTTTTTTTTAAAGATTTTATTTATTTATTTGAGACAGAGAGAATGAGAGACAGAGAGCATGAGAGGGAGGAGGGTCAGAGGGAGAAGCAGGCTCCCCGCCGAGCAGGGAGCCCGATGAGGGACTCGATCCAGGGACTCCAGGATCATGACCTGAGCCGAAGGCAGTCGCTTAACCAACTGAGCCACCCAGGCGCCCACTACAAGGGATTTTTGAAGGAGCCCCTATATTTAGGAAAACTCATTCCTTACTATGTTTCTTGACTTGACTCTGATATATTCTAGATTTTTCTTGCGAATATTTAAGTTGCAATATGTATTGCTTGCAAAGTAAGGGGCTTGTACCAAAGAAGAGCTAATGCTTTCTGTGGGGTGGAAAGTTTTTTTGGTGATTTCTCTTTGTTACTGAACTTTTATGCTTCGGATATCATTTCTGTATAATCTAAATTTCATTGCTAGAAGACATCTTAGTAGTTTTTTTTGTTCAGTCCTTCATTTTACACATGAAGATGCTGAGGCACAGAAACAGGAAGATATCTACCCAAGGTCATTTGGTAAGTCAGTGGCAAGGACAAGGATGAACTCAGGTCTCCTCTGCATTCTAGTTCAAAATGACTTCCCTGTAGAAGGCCAAGAGAGTTTTGTACACTTCTATTTATAAAAGTACTTGAGGGATCCTCACAGAATCCCAGAACAACCCATTTTTGTTTATCTCACCTGGGTAGCATTAGGCTGTCTTACTCTATCATAAGTTAAGCTGCAACCAGATGTTCTCTGTATTTCTCAGGGTTAAAGGGAAGAAAAGGGCCACCTGTCACTCTTCCTCTAGGGCAGAGACAAGCAATAATCTGCTAATCCCTAAGCTTTACAAAATCATAAAATCTAACCACAGGTCTGATATTTTTTTAACCAGGAAAATCTTTTTCTATCACCTCATTAAGTACAACATTTAAATAATAGGTTTGTATTTCTATAAGCAATTAATCTTTGTTCTCTTAATTACTCTACTGTAATTCTCTGGTGACTAATATTCCTGAGTACAGAAACAGATTCTTGCACTTGCCCAGAGGTTTGACACATGTGAGCCAGCTACAGAAGGTATAAAACACCCATACGAGCTATGTATGATAGCATCCCACAGCAGGGGGCTACTCTCAACTTGGATGCCCAAAGTAAGTCTACTGGCCCAGAAGCTCCCATTTATCCAGCATGAGTAAGGATAGAAGTATTTTTTTTTAAAGATTTTATTTATTTATTTGACAGAGAAAGAGACAGCCAGAGAGGGAACACAAACAGCGGGGAGTGGGAGAGGGAGAAGCAGGCTTCCCGCAGAGCAGGGAGCCCGATGCGGGGCTCGATCCCAGGACCCTGGGATCATGACCTGAGCCGAAGGCAGATGCTTAACGACTGAGCCACCCAGGTGCCCCAAGGATGGAATTATTCTACTCAAAGAAATTTTCAGAGCTCAAAAGGTATTTAGATCTATCTCATATTATAGGTAGAGAAACTGAGATCCAGAAAAAGAACTGACTTACCAATTGTCACAGTTTTATTTTAGTCATTTCTTTAAAAAAAAAAAAGATTATTTATTGATCGTGGGAGGGGAGGGCAGCGGGAGGGAGAGAATCCTAAAGCAGACTCCCCAAGACCCCAGGATCAAGACCTGAGCCAAAATCAAGAGTCAGACACTAAAATGACTGAGCCACCCAGGCACCCTTATTTTAGTCATTTCTACAGATAGTTCTTTTTTTGTTTGTTTGTTAAAGATCTTATTTATTTTTTAGAGAGCGAGCGAGAGAGAAACAGCATGAGAGGGGAGAGGGTCAGAGGGAGAAGCAGGCTCCCCGCTGAGCCGGGAGCCCGATGTGGGACTCGATCCCAGGACCCTGGGATCATGACCTGAGCCGAAGGCAGACGCTTAACCATGTACAGATAGTTCTTATATATTATATTTCTAGCTTTCTTAAATAATATGTGGAATACTGAGTTAAATATAACTGTTTCTTTATGGTTCAGGTCCATTATCATGAATATCAACTATGCTCCTATGCTATGATTCTGTAACATTCAAATGATAAGAAGACAAATGTGGGGGTAATTTGTTTCCGGGCTGGTTTATAGTTTTTCCCTCCCCACCCCTTTTCTTCTTTCTTTACTAAAGGATTTCCAGAATCCAATTACTTGGCTTCCAAGGTTGCAGTATAATCCCAGGAAGGCACTGATCTTTAGAAAAGGGAGTGATGAGGGGCGCCTGGGTGGCTCAGTCGGTTAAACGGCTGCCTTCGGCTCAGGTCATGATCCCGGGGTCCTGGAATCGAGTCCCGCGTTGGGCTCCCTGCTCAGCGGGGAGTCTGCTTCTTCCTCTCCCTCTGCCTGCCTCTCTGCCTACTTGTACTATCTCTCTATCTCTCTGTCAAATAAATAAATAAAATCTTAAAAAAAAAAAAAGAAAGAAAAGGGAGTGATGATGCTGAAGCTGGAAGCTGTAGGGAACCCAAGCCCTGAGGCTGCTTACTTACTTAATAACAACAGTAACCTTTTTTGAGCATTTATGATATACTATATATATGTTATATTTTAGGTTCCTCATTTAATTCTCATAATAAGCCTAGGAGAGGGGTGCCATTGTCATCTCTGCTGAGCCACATATAAGTACTTTATCCAAGGTCACAAAGCCAATAAATGAAGGGTCCAGGATTCAAACTTGGGTAGTTCTCTTTTCAAAGCCCACACTCTGAAATCACTATTCTATTCTATCTCCTTAACTATTTGAAGTAGGATTTTGAAAGAAAGATTTCTGAGAGATTTTTATGTACAAGTGATAAAACTTGAGCCCTAGAAAAGGTAGTAACTTCCCCCCAAAGTCACACAGCTGTTTAGAGGAACAGCTAGACTAGGACGCAGTTCTTGGATTCTTTGTCCCAAGCTCTTACCACTTCATTATGCAAAAGTTCAGTGGGGAGAAAGTTGGGGGACATTTCTGCAAAGTGAGATAGCTCTTAGATGGGACTTAAGACCCTCAACCCCTGCCTTTCTTTGGCCCATTCTAGAGCCACAGGGCCTGAGCCACAAAAACTTCAGTGTGGATTTCCTACTAGAACTGCATCTGGGATACTGCTGTTGTGGATGTGATTGGCCATGAGTCACACACCACAGTCAACTGAAGAAAGCTGCCTCCTCTCCCTTAGGAAGGAAAGCAGATTTCTAATTTGAGTTTTACATCATCACTCTCTTCCAGAATGAGGGACCTGACCCTTTCTTCTCTATAACCAGCAGGTTTCTGATAACCACTTTCTCCACAAATGTGGCAGACCCCTCACAGACAGTGAACAGCTGGTGAGAGGTCTGACCCAGCCCTTCCTCAGAGACCTCCCATTTAAAAGTTGGAGTATCTCCCATCCAAGTACTAACCAGGCCCGACCCTGCTTAGCTTCCAAGATCAGACAAGATCGGGCGCGTTCAGGGTGGTATGGCCGTAGACTAAAAGTCGGAGTATCTCAAGGGAAAGGCTCTGGTTCCCCAGAGCCTTCAAGTTCAGAGAGAAGAGATCCAGTACTCCATTTCTGGACAGCTCCATAGCTGATACTGCAGACTAATGAGAAGGCTCCTCCATCCTGGAGCCACCACAATCTACAGCAGTGGGCTTGGGAATGGTTCTTGGCTCTCTATGTCTCTTCCTGCTGCTTACCTGCGGCTGCTGGGTGGTTAAGGGTCTCTGAGGGGACAGGACAGGGGTCCTGGACAGCAGCTGGTTCATCTTGCTAATAACTAGCTCAGTGATGAGTTGTCTGTCCTCCACCTGGTGTTCACCAATCAGTGGCATACTGCAGTCCATGACCTAGTGGAGGATGTAGCCCAGGTTAGGAAAAGGTCTGGAAACATCAAAGGCTTGGTATAGACTTTCAGAATGAATAGGACTTAAGGCATCAGAGATAGGTTGGGGATGAAACTGGTGTTCTTATCTTGAGCTGGAAGCATGTTCCTTTGCAGAAATAGGAACTTAGTTCCCCCCTCCAGCAAACTTTTGCTTTGGATCTTTCCTCCCAGACTTCACCCAGGCCAGGGCTCAGTAAGACTGAAAGATTCATGGCTGAAGGTAGTGGGGAAAGGGGGAGAGCAAGGAGAGAGCCCAGCTCCAGGGCTTAGAGGTTTGCAGGCAGGGAAAGCAGGAATACTGAAGGTCATTCCCTTAACTCTCTAGTTAGGAGTAGGCAATTTTCATCTCTGAGACTTTTCACCCATGCAGTTTCTATCTCCACACATAGTCTGCCCATTAAACAACTAGATTTCTGCTTTTGCTCATGACCTGGGATGCCTTCCCTTTTCACCACCATTCTGATTCTTCCTATACCTCAAAGTCCAGGTAAATGTTTTCCTCCTTTAGGAAGTGTCCACCTAACCAGGATCATAGATGCTGTAGTCCAACCCTCATTTACAGATGAGAAATCTGAGTCCCACTGAGAGACGGGGATATGATTAGAACACTATGTGCCAAGTAGTTTATATGGAGTAGATTCTGAAGCCCACTTTGGGCTCCTGACTCTAATCCTTTCCAAATACCACCAACTCCTGGTAAGGAGCCTTTCCTGCTTCCAGGAAGATTGGCAGGAACATGTGTGAAGGATTCATACTGCTACTGACTTTCCCTTTAATATGGGGAAAAGAAGTAAGCAAAGTTGTTTTAGAGGACCAGGCTGAGTGAAGCAACTCCAAGGCTCAGAGAGATGCTAAGAAGAATCCCCTGCATCCAGGAGACCTGAACTCTAGCCTAGGTTGAGACACTGATTCACTCCATGGCCTTGAGCACATGTTCGTGGCATTAGGCCTTAGTTTTCTCATCTGCAAAATAAGCAGACTGAACCAAATGATTCCCAAGTTCAGCTTTCTGAGACCAAAAATGGTAAATCACTAGTATTCCCAGAGGAATAGCATTAGGCTAGGACCCAAGGAACCCAAATCTGGCATCTCTTACCCATGGCATGGGTCAGCCTAGCTAATTGGAAACAATAGCTCCCCACTGGTGGAGGTATTTTGCTATGCACATCCATTGGTCGTGTTGTCTGGGAACCGTCCCCTGGCCCAAGAGACTCTAATCTAAATGTAGTTTGGGTTGCCCACATAGTTCTCAAGCTAAGAGCCTGGCCTCTAGCCTTGGGGGTTGTCTCTTACTGAGATACTCCTTGGGCCAGACTTACCTCAAAAATGTAGTCTTTCCCATCTTTGCCATGTACAGCTTTGACAGCACAGATGTCCAGGCCACCAAACATCTCAGAACAGGTGTCCACCCACAGCTTGTACCTGGAAGGGATGGGAAGGTGTTCTGAGGCTGGAGTGTTAGCTCATATCAAGCCTGCTTGCTACTCATGATCTCCTTGGCACCTCCACCTCTACCATCCCACCCTTGGCCTCCTCCCCTCCCTCTCCCCATCAAGCATATTGCCTTCTCTACAGTGCTCTCTCACTTGCTCTCCTGATTCCACCCATGTTTCCAGGCTCAAAGCAGGTCTCACACACTCCATCTAGGTGGCCTTCCTTGGCTATTCCAGGGCAGAGTAACTGCTCCTTTCTTGGAGCTTCTATATCATGTCCAGTCTTTATCTTCATAATTGAGCATATAACCCAGTCCTGCCTGATCTTGTTACCTGGTTGCTTGGGCCTTTGTGTTCTGTCCTGATTAGAGGCTTCCTTTAGGCAGGGTTCATTTCTTACACCTCTTCAACTATGGAAGTTGGTCTGGGGAGTGGACTCCTACTCTTACTCACCTGTCTGACATGGCGATCTGCTCCAGCATTGCAGAGCCAGTGTTTGTCTTCCAGTTCCCTGAGATCGACGTCCTCCTGCAACAAGGTTCCACCAGGATAGGACAGGCAGTGAGCCACACCAGCAAGAGGGGGGCATGAAACTTTCTGGAATTTTAGCTAACTGCTGCTTTCCCCACCTGCTTCTTGCATAAGTAGCCCAGGCACCTGTCTGCTGAGCTGAGAACCTGGCTGCCCTGCCAACCCCCACCCTCAATGTCCTTCTCTCTATAGTCTGGCCCAGACTGCTGTGGCTCCATGGAGACTTCCCTGATCTTTTCAACCAGATGAGCACTTGCTCTTCTGAACCTCACTTACAGTCCTATATCTACTTTTTACATTAGTTATTTGACCTAAACCTTAGGTCCACAAGTCTAAACCACTTGCAGCCTACCCATTTAGTATCTGGGCTGACTTGGCATATACAAACTGAATTCTATTGATCCTGGGAACACTCTCAGAATTCTTGTGGATATCTCCCCATGGCTTTCTTACTAGCTCATTTATTTGTTCATTCAACAGTTAATTTCTGAGAGCCTACAGTATTAACAATGTGACTCTGGACAAGTCAGTTAACTTTTTCAGGCTTAAGTTGCCTTGACCATCAAATGCTGCTGATGGAATCAAGTCACCAACCTCTTCTCTGCTGTGCCCTCTGCACCCTCTCCATCCATGAGCAGGTGTTAGAGTCAACTAGTCTTAGACTAAATAGGAGGTGGATGACCTGGTTTCTGATTCTGGATTTGCTCTTGACTGGCTGGGTGACCATGGGTGAATCACTTCACCTCTCTGAGCCTCTTATCCCTGTGCAAACACAGGGTTGTCATGAGCATCAATTGATACAGTTTTAAATGAATTGTAAAACACCAAAAATAGGTCTTCTTAATTATTAGTCTTCACTCAGACACAGTCAAGAGGAAGAGGATGGTCTAGCGGACAGAAAAGCCCTGTTCACACTACTGACAGAGCCATTCATGTGCTGTCCTTGTCACTTGCTACCATTTGGAGACTGGATGCATGTAGTAGTCTCCACTCAGCAGTTCCCAGGAGTACCTTCCCCAGAGGTCTGATCTCAGACACTGAGCAACCTAGACATACAGCTAGTTTTCAGAGCCCTGAGGCAGACTAGTGAGTCAACTGATGTAATAACAACCCCTCACTCTTGTACAGTACTGACTGCTTGCCAAGATTCTTCCTCCACAAACCCCTCACCAGAGCCTCAGCGCAAATCCCTGTTGTGAGCAGGCTGACATCCTTGCCCCAACTTTACAGACAAGGAGACTAAGACTCAGAAAGGTTAAATGACTTGCCCAAAGTTGTGTATCCAGTCAAATTAGACATAAGATAAAAAAAAGCCCAAGACTCTTCGTTCCCTCATTGTGCTGTACTTCTTCTATACCACACTACCTAGTTCAGAAACAAACAACTAACAGATGAGTGACTTGCAAAATCTGAGTAGAGACACAAAGATAGATCATAATAAAAATAACACTGTCTTCCTAACACTGGTGGTTTATGCGTGTGTCCCTGTGACTAGGTTGGGCTCTTCAAGGGAGGGGACACAGAGTCACTCACTTCCAGGTCCCCAGCTCAGGGCCATGGTATATAATAGGGTCTTGGAAACTTTGAGTGAGTAATAATAATGTCCTTCACACTTTACACCTTTCTTTAACAATGAGATGCAGGGCATAGATCCATATAGGCCACTAGTGCATGGGGGAGCATCAGGGGCACCCAGAAGCCACTCAGTAATAGTTCAACTACCTCTCAGGACTTATAGGTCACCTGACCTCCACAGAGGGATGCACATTATTACCTACTGAGAGTAGAGCAGGAACAACACCCTCTGTCTACCAAATATGGCTGTCTTTGGATCTCCAGAGTGAGAGCTAAGGGGGTAGGGAAGACTCTCAAACCTTATCTTGGCTATTATCAGGTCAATTCCTTCTGAAAGCAAGGGGATAGCTAAAAGCTTCGGGAAGAGGAGCCAATAGGACCTGAATATTCCCCTAAATAACTATCCCTTGCAAATTAAAAAGAAAGTAAATGTTTTCTAAAGCTTCTTTGGTTGCCCACCCTTCATCAGTATTAGAGGATTCTCTTTTCTTATGCTTCTTTGAAATTGCTTGTAGAAATCCTAACCTTTAAAAATGAGAGGTCTCCTTTTAAGAATCAAGATACTCTTGCTCTACTGTCATAAACATTTTGTGTTTGTTTAGGGAATTTTATTTTATTATATTATTATTTAGGGAATATTTAGGGATAAATATTAATATTTAGGGAATATTATTTTATTATATTATTATTATTTTTATTTTTATTTAGGGGATTTTAAAAGTAAAGGATAGGAAATCTGCTTTCCTAGGTGCCTACACATACTGATTTTTCTGCTCCTTTTAGCTGCTTTTTATAATGGTCTTTTAAATTATCTTGTCTTACATTGTGCACAATTTTAAAACAATCTTAAATTCCTTTTTGAAGCAGCGAGACTTTAAATAAAAAACTATAAACTTTTAAAAAGTAGTAATCTAGTAAAAAAGTAAAAAAGATTCTGTGTTTTGGTTCTGTACAAGGGCTCTCCCCTGAATACTTATTGGGTGCTTACTCTGTGCCTGCAGCTGCACAAGCTGGTGGAGCTGCAGAGATGATTTCACTGTTCCTGCCCAGGGAGCTCAGAGGAGAGTGACAGAAATTCCTGTTTGTGCAGCGGGCTAAACTAGAGGGGTGTACAGGGTTATGACAAGGGAGGGGGGCAGGGCTCCTAATTCCAGGGGTGGGGAGTACAAACACTGAAGGGGGAGACAGAAGAACAATGGAAATGAATGGGCAAGGGAAAGGGAAGTTGCTCAGCCTCAAAGTCTGCTCAAGTGCCAAGCGGCCAAGACCAAATTCAGATATCAGAATGTTCTTGTTTATAAAAGAAATACTACCCTATAGGTTTTAAAAAGTGAGAGGCTCATATTTCCAAAGTTGGCATTGTAAGCTATTTGCATTCTTAGGTATATTATAGAAGACTGGGTCATCCTGAAATCTTTTCTTTCTCTAAAGTTGAATGGAGGAAACTTTTAACTTTCCATTCTGGCAGATGGACACAGTCATGTGGAGAAGTTACCTATTCTCATAACCACTAGGTTTTTAATGCTCTGGAGTGTTTTCAGGGCTATATATTTTCATTAGGAGTTTCTTAACCTTTTCTGAATTCTGGCAGCCTGGTGAAGCCTATGGATTCCTTTCAAGGTATAAAAATACATAAGATATGTACGTGTATAAAATAAAATGCATAAGATATCAAAGAAACCCAATTTTTGAAATAATTATCAAAATAGTTATCAAACTATTAAACAAATCTGTGATTTAGTAAAAAATACATTTCTTTGTAAATAACGAAAGTATTTACAGGTACAAATGCAGTGACAGGTCTAATAACTACCATGATTCTTGAGTAGTGATCAAAATAATTGGTATTTAGAGATATCGGTCATAACTGCAGTGTGAATCAAAAATCTCTGCGATTACCTTTAGTAACAAAGTCACATGTGTTGTTACTACTGTAGCCTGTTGTCATGGTTTATGACTGAGGAGATGGCAAATTTCACTTAGAGGCTAGTGAAAGTAAATATTAATTTTATTTCTCATCTTAGTTCTCCTCTGGCTTGAAAGGAACTCAGGCTGGGAGTCCCTGACTTGAATAGCACCCTCTTTCTGGCCCCTGCCTTTTGGGCCAGATGAGGTTAAACTGAGAGTTGGTTGCTACCTGGAGGCTCAGATTTTCCACTGGGCTGAGGAGAAAGTGAAGAGTATCTGCTGGTACCCCAGCCCCACTTACATATAAGCCTTGTAGTTGTTGCCTATCTTCTGGACCCGGATATCATACTTGGCGTCAATAAAAGGCTCTGCTGTGGCATATGTCTGGGTGAGGGCCACCACACTAGCAATGTCCTGGAAGTCGTAATGGTTTTCCACTTTGACCTAATGTTGGAGCAAGGCAGAGAGGGAGAAAAGGAGACATACAAATACATATACTGAGAGTCACAAGAGCTCTGAGCCTCTAAACCCATCGGGATGTTATCCATCCAGTTGTAAACCTGGATGCCACATCTCCCTAGGACACCCATTGTCTCTAGCTTCCCCTCCTAGAGCTCAGGAGCCTCACTTGCTACAAAGGGCCCAAGGGCCCAAGCAAGTGGCCTGTGCTCTGCTTGTTGGAAGAAGTCTGTTTGGGTAACACTCATGACTTCAGAGGGGCCAAATCGTCTCCTTGGAAAGACTTCATGGGGAAAGGAGGCAGAACAGTTCATAACCAGGCTCTTTAAAAAGTGTCCTTCTTCGCCTCAACCCCAAAACACAGCAAACCCTTACCATGGCCTTACCTTGCCCATGCCTGAGTGAGCGTGGCCAATCTTCACCACCACAGGGAATGTGGGCAGTGTCAGCTGAAAGCAGAGGAGAAATGAATGAACTGGTCAGAGTGTGCCTCACTCTCTGTGGAATCTTACAAATATTTTTCTTGGTAACACCCTTGGAAGGGTCCTTTAAAGAACTAGCCCAACCTACTTGCTTTACAGATTAAAAAACTGAGGCCCATAGAGTGACAGTGACTTGCCTAAGGTCACAGCATACTAGTAGTAGAACTGTAAGAACCCTGCTCTACCACTTAGTACTCTCTACATCTTTAAAATTCATTGTTTCAACTTTCTCTGCATTATACAAACCCTGGGCAGGACCAGTCCTTAGCCAGAGAAAAAGAAAGAAAGAAAAGAAAGAAAGAGAAAGAAAGAAGAAAGAAAGAAAGAAAGAAAGAAAGAAAGAAAGAAAGAAAGAAAGAAAGAAAGAAAGAAAGAAAAGAAAGGGAGAGAGAGGGAGAGAGGGAGAGAGAGGGAGAGAGGGAGAGAGAGGGAGAGAGGGAGGGAGGAAGGAATGAAGGAACGAAGGAAGGAAGGAAAGAAGGAAGAACATCTTTGAAAGGGTGAATTTTGTTGTATGTAAATTGTATCTTAGTAAACCTGAATTTAAAAAGGAATGTATCTTTGGAATCTTAATGTCCCTTTTGTCATGTACCTTTTAGTACCCTCCCCTTCCCCTTCAAATGTCCAGCTTCTTATACTGAACCTGGCTTTTCTCCCTCCCTGTCACAATGTCATCAGAGCTCATCAACACCCCAAACTCACCATCAAACACAGCTTAGGATGCTAAGGCCTCTTTCTGCCCAGTTTGAGGTTTGGAAGAGAGCTAACTTAAGAATTCAACATGTTTATCTAATTTGAAAGACATCCTTAAAAGTGTAAACTCTATCTTGAGGTAGCCATATTTTAACAGAGGGACAATAGAAACTTAAAAGGAGAACTACCCTCCAAAGGCAGGATTTCAAGTGGTTACAAAGTGGCGATGGAGGAAGTACTATGGTAGAGTGGAAGGAGCACTACACCATATGTCAGAAGACCTGCATTCTAGTCCTCTCTGCCATTAGCTTTCTGAAAGTCACTTTACCTCACTGAGCCTTTGTCTTCACATTTGCCAAATGAAGGGACTGGACTGGATGCCTTTCAAGGTCCGTCCAATAATAAATACATCAGGCTCTATCTTGGTTCGGGTGTTATATGAAGAATCAACTTGGTCACCAAATCTCATCTTTCTCAATCAGACTCAGCTCTCTTTCGATTTCCTTCTTTTCAAACATCACTACCACATCAAAATAAGAAGATATCTTTTGGAAAAATTAAAGTTAACTCTGATAAAAATTCAGATTCCCATGGGAGTACCTGACCTGAGGATTTCAGTACTCCTGGCTGAGGCCAGTTGAAGCTGGGGCAAAGAGCTTCAAAGGGCCTTGGAAACATGTAGTTCAAGCCTGGAGAAGAAAGTGAGCCCAGAGAGGCAAAGGTTGCAAAGCTACCTTGTGACAGAATCAGAACCCAGCCTTCCACCTTCTAGCCCAGCACTGTGTGGAAATATCCTATAATAATCTCATGGGTCCCTTTCTATTTGGAGACTTGGAGCACTATGCTCTGTCAAGCAGAGCAGACAAGGCTCTGGTTGCAGTGACCCCATGTGCCTTGCTTCTTTGTTTTCTAGGCTGTTTCACCGTCCATGAGAAGACATAGTCTCTCCAGTGAATAATGACTTGAGATAGGAACCAGTGTAGCCTAGGATCTGGAGAGGGCTTTGAAGTCCCAGGTTTGCCCTAAGTGATGGGGTATCCTGTGCTTTGAGCCCCCACCAAGAGAGCTCTCCTCAGCCATCTGCAGAGTCTGAGGCTCTGGATATGGGAAAGGGTTTCTAAAGCACAGACTGCTTTCTCTGACATCTCTCCCCACCCCCCAGCCGACTGCGCCAAGACACACACACACACCCCAACTTTCTCTGTCCTCTTCCATTACTGTTTGCTGTTGCTTTGGAGCCTCATAAATAGGGCATTGAAAACACTTCCTGCAGCTGAAAGAAGCCCTGAGTAGCTTGTCTCATTCCCAGTGTGCAGCTCAGCAAGGGGTCCGTCCTCTCTGTCACTGTCTCTTTTGCCTGTTGTAATTCCGTCTGCCTCTCTCTGACTCTGCCTGTCTCACTTTCTGTTTGTGTCTCTCCTCACTCTTGTTCCTTCAGTGTGACTCACAGCCCATCCTCTTTCTGCCCTCATGCATTTGTCTTTGTTGTGCTTTGTCTTTCTGCCTTGACACCATCCTCTTTCCCCGGGCTTTCCATCTACTTCTGTAAGGCTTAATTGCTTGGGCAGGGCAACAGAGGCTAGCGGCCTCTCTCCTGGCTTCCCTCTTCCTTTTACTGAGCCTGCCAGTCAGGAGGGCTGCGGGTCCTGCAGCCGTGGGTGGCCTACAGCCAAAGGAGGGAGGAGCCCATCCGGGCGGGATTGGCCCTAAGTCCACCTCAAAAAGCCTGGGGCGAGGGGCGCAACGCGTTCTGGATGAGCCCCGGAGGGCCGGTTTGGTCAGAGAGTCCCCGCAGGCTCAGTCGGGGCTTTGCAGTGTCATGCCCCGGAGCCCCCGGACGGCGCCGAGCTGGGCGCTGTTGCTGCGGCTGCTGGCACTGCTGCGGCCACCGGGGATGGCTGAGGCGTGCAGCTGCGCCCCTGCGCACCCCCAGCAGCACGTCTGCCACTCGGCGCTTGGTGAGTCCGGAGGCCCGACAGGTCACAGCAGGGGGTGGGTGTGTGGGTTCGGTATGGGGCCGAGCTGTAGACCTGGAGTCTGGAGGGAAAGGGAGGAGATCAAATACTGCACCAGTTGCCTCCCACTGGGGCAGATGGGTCGGACAGGGCCGGCGCCATAGCAACCTTGCAAGCACAGAGCCTGGTGGACTTGCAAGGAAATGAAACACCGTGTAAGGGAACCCCATAGCGACCCCCTCTCCCCTGCCTACTGCAATTATGGACTTGAATGACAAGTCACGGGAGCTATCCAGTGATTATTCTGAACTCCTGGATGCAGGGAGGGGGAGCTAGGGGCCAGGGGACTGGGCTTTCATTATAAACATCCCACTGTGTCCGAGCCTATAACTGATGTTTACTCCATGCACCACCCCCACACAACACACTTTTTGCCCTTTCTCTTTCCTCTGCCTGAAATGCCCTTCCCCCATACCCTTAAATTCCTGGCAGACTCTTATTCATCCTTCAACGTCTTACTCAGGTATCTCTTCTTCTATGAAGACTTCCTGACTTCTTGGTGCTACCACGGTATCTCTAACAAAAATTTTTGTACTCCCAGTATGCTGTGCTGTTATTCTTTGTAAGTGTATTCTCTACTGGACCAAGAGTTCTGTAGGATGGGAGACCCTGTCTTAATCATGCTTGTGGACCTAGTACCTAGTGTTGGGCCAGGCACATAGAAAGAACTTTATAACCAGTTTTTGATTAATGCCCAAATGGCAAGAGACAAACTACTTCTGTACAGGGTCAGAACATATTTATTAATTCAATAAACATTTACCAATATCAGCTCTGGGTAGGCTCTCCTGAAACCTCAGCTATATAGGTAGAGGACCGCAAACTTCAAGGGGCTCCTCCTCCCTCCTCTACCCTGATGTCCACCTTCAGCCCACTGCAGTCTGGGCTATGGAGAATTAGACTCTCAAAACCAGCAGGTAAAGTATAGAGAGATTATAGGACCCAGTTGGCCTGAGGAGTTTGGAACTTCTAACAATTGCAGAGGAGGAGTTTCCAGGACCCCACTTTTACACACATGGCCCCCACCACCACAATCCAACAAGACCTAAACCCAGAATTCCCCTATAAAATTCTCCAGGGGCCCAGGTCATCCAGATCCCAGATGGACTGCTTCCACAGGTTGTTAAAGGTCCCCTCTTTTCTCTTCTTATGCAGCCATTCGGGCCAAAATCTCCAGTGAGAAGGTAGTTCCTGCCAGTGCAGACCCTGCTGACACTCAAAAAATGATCCGGTATGAAATCAAACAGATAAAGGTACATGGGGATAGGACAGGGCATTAACCCCCTTGGGCTGCTGGGAGGAGTGGGGTCTGTGTACTGGGAGCGGGGCTGGTAGGCAGGTGACCCGGCTCATTGATCCTGGGGTATTTATGCTGAAGTGGAAGTGGATGACATGTTGGGAGCAGGGCCCACAGGCCCTCAGTGTCCATCCAGTCCTACGGCTGCCTGTGTGTGGGGCTACTAAAAGTATTCTCACTGGAATAAACCAAGGTTTAGATTTTTTTAAAGACAGAAATGACCCAGTTGGGCCATCTGTGTGTACCAAATCCTGAACTAGACTTTTGCTTAGTTTTTTTTAGATTGAGAAATGAGTTTTTCCTGTTAAGATATAAAGTATACTCACTGACCCAACACTGCTTTTTTTGTAATTGCCTTTCAGATGTTTAAAGGGTTTGAGAAAGTCAAGGATGTTCAGTATATCTATACACCTTTTGATTCCTCCCTCTGTGGTGTGAAACTAGAAGCTAACAGCCAGAAGCAATATCTCTTGACTGGTAAGTTAAAGACCAACAAGCAACCCTAACAGTCTCTGTCCTAAGGAAGGCAGTCAAGAAGGAGCCAGGGCTGTCCTTGGGCAGCAAACTGAGCTAGGTGGCATTTTCTCAGGCAGAAAACAGAGCTGTGTTACTAAGAGCCAGCCTCTGAGTTGGGAGGAGCCGTGGTAACCTTCCTTTCAGTGCAAGAGTCTTCATTACAGTGATCTTGGCCACTGCTTCACTACTTTAAGGACAGTCTGCTCTCCCAGCCTAGGGCAGCTGGTTCCATTTTTAAACAGTTTTAATTGATATAAGTTTGATATCTTGAGCCAAAAATCTGCCTCTCTGAAACTGCCCTTTGTGGGTTCAGTTCTGTCCTCTGCCCATGATGATCCTTCAGAGGCTCCAGGACCATATGTATATACACTCTAGCTCCAGGCCTGATGGCCATGGTTCCCAGACCCTTTCCTATCCTGGCCACCTTCTCAAATGGGATATAGCTTGTCCCTGCCCCTCCCTAGCACAGGCCCCTAAACTGGACACTGCACTACGGGTGATGTCTTGGTTTCACAGAGTAAATGAGGATTGTGCATGTGCAACCTTACCCCCCAGCACACGTATTATAGTTACTATAGTCTACAATGGCATTAACTTTAGATAGCTACATTGGGTCATGATCTTGGCTCATAGTGAGCCTCTGTGGCTAAATCACATCACAGGTCATATTCTGGGGGTGCAGTAAAGCACAAGCCCTAACAGGAGGCTTCAGTCTAACAAGTCTCTATGAACTTGGGCCCAGGCAGTTTTCCATACTCAATTGGTTGGGACAGGACAGTTAAGAAACCACACAAGATTATGACTCTGTAAGTGAATGAATGCAATACTAAATTATTTAGTTCAGGGAAAAGAGGTATTTGTGTGATTGTAAACAATTAGGGAAGTTTCACTGTGTAAGTGGGAACTACACTGCCCCTAAAGGAAGAAAAATATTTGGAAAGAAGGCAAGGAAAAGAAAACACAGCAGGTGGGGAGAATAGGAGGAATTTCTACTATCTGTCCATCCATTCAGCAATAATGACCACCCACTTGCTGCCAGGCATTGGGCAGGAGGGTGGAGATTCAGTGACAAGCCACAGTCCTCAAAGAGCTCACAGTCCAAGCTTGGCTCTTGAGAAGTCATAGCCATTAGAAGCCATACTGGTAGGGGCTCCCCAGATCTAAGGATGTGGAATTGTGTTGATCTGGGAGCCTCTGGATAGGAGAGACAGAGGCAGGGCACACCACTGAGCCCTCCAGGTCCCAGGATTAGCACGCAAGGCCACCTCATTCCCTCTGTGTACCTAGCCCTCTGCCAGGCACTGTGGTGCATCGGGGGAGGAGGAGACGTGTTCTCTGCCCTCAAAAATGTCAAGTCTAACTGAGGGTGGGGATAAACAACAAATACAAGTCTACTGAGAAGTCATCAGTGGTGCCCAGGCTTTTCAGGAGAAGGCACAAGGTCTTTTGTCTAATGTTGAAAGCCCTTGTGACCAGAACACTGCCGACCTCTCCAGCTTTGTCTCCGGCCATGTGTGAGTGACAGCTCCCAGCTCCTCATTTCCCCCAGAGCTAAACTAAACTACTTGCAGTTGCAGAAGGTGTTCTGCTGCGCTGCGCCCCTCCACCTTGCACAGGGTAGTCTCAATGTCCAGAAGTCCTTCCCCTCATTTGTCTGGCAGGAGAACTCCTACCCACCCTTCAAGGCCCAATACAAGCATCATCTCCTCTGAGACACCTTCCTTGCCGCCCACCCCTTCCACAGATGGAGATAATTGTGCTTTGTTCATTGTTATACTGCATCTTGCATATAATCACACAACAGTATAATTTTTGCCTACTTATCTATCTGCCCTCCTGGTTATTAAGCTCCTTGGGGAAGAGATTCTGTCATATTTATTTCTGTATTTCTGGTACCAAGTCATAGTAAGTAGTTGCTCAATGAGTAATTGAGTGACTGAGGTTCTAAGAAAGGTGTGGGCTAGGGTGGTCAGAGATGGTTTTGAGGACTCTGTGGTACTGAAAAGGGTCTTTGGAAGCTAGGAAAGAGTCTGATAAGTAAAGAGGGGGAACTTTCCTATGGGGAAGGGGAGAGACTCACCAAGACAGGTATCAACGGGGCAGGAGATGAGGCTGTGTAGATATTGGGAAGGGTTAGAAAGAGGAAGGGACCTATTATTTATGGAACCTTCTGTGGGCCCAAGCTGTGCTGGGAACTTTACAGACGTTCTCTCATTTAATCCTGACAACTTACTATTTTCATCTTTGAGCAGAGAAGTTATGTGACTTTCTTAAGGTCATACGGCTGTAAATGAGAGAAAAGAAGGGGGTTGTACCAACAGTCTGCCTTTAAAGCCCATGTTTTTCTCTCTACACCACACTAAAGGAAAAGGTCTTCATCCCACAACTCTCTCTCATACAAACATAATCTGTTAATATATTTGATATAAAAATTATAGAGGCTTTTCTGGTTCTTTCATTGAGCCCCATGTCACCACTGCCACCAAGAAGTCACTGAAGAAACTGCAATTCTGGGCTCTTTGAGGACCTGGGCTCTTGGAGCTCCATGAGCATATTCCTCATGCTAGGTCTTCCTCCATTCCCCTTGAAGGTCAGATCCTCAGTGATGGAAAAGTCTTCATCCATCTGTGCAACTACATCGAGCCTTGGGAGAACCTGTCCTTTTTGCAGAGAGAAAGTCTGAATCACCACTACCATCTGAACTGTGGCTGCCAAGTAAGGGAATATCCATTTGCAAGGTCTTTTGGGGGTGGGGGAAGGGTCTTGAGCCTTGTAGCCTTACTCTTCATGTATTCCTTCCTTTGTGCATATGTTTATTCACTTACTGTACTATATTTGAAATCTGCCATGGATCAGGCACTGTATGAAGTTGGGGATGGGAAAGCAAGATGGTCCATAGTCCATGATCCCAAGATGGTCTATGTAAGTCCATACTTACATTTTGGCTGGGAAGGTGGCCATCATTTAAAGAATAAGATAATATAGCTACCATTTAAAGAGAGTCTACTTTTTGCCAGACCCTGTAATGGTGTATTTATTTAAAATATTTAATTTAGTCTTTATAACAAATTTATGAAGAGTTAAGATTTCCATTTTAAGGTGAAGAAATTCATGCTGTAGGAATTGAAGTGATTTGCTCAAGGTCAGTGGTGGACTAAGGACCTCAGGCCTGTCTGACTCCAGAGATATCATTTGAGAGGCAATACTATATGATAGGAGATAGGGGAAAGGGAACTCAGGAGGAAGTCTGGGGACTAGGAAAGGCTTCAGGAGTCAGGGGCATTTGTGCTGGGTTGTAAGGATATGTAGGAGTCTGAAAGGCAATAATGGAAAAAGGACACCCTACTCACGTTGATGTTGTGTGGCTATGACTCTAGATTACCACCTGCTATACAGTTCCCTGTACCATCTCAACCCCCAACGAGTGCCTCTGGACAGACTGGCTGTTGGAACGGAAGCTCTATGGGTACCAGGCCCGGCATTATGTCTGCATGAAGCATGTTGATGGCACCTGCAGCTGGTACCAGGGCCGCCTGCCCCTCAGGAAGGAGTTTGTTGACATCATCCAGCCCTAGTAGGGGCCAGTGACCATCACATTCTTTCAAGCATCGTGAAGCCCAAGCCAGTTCTCCTTCCCTGTGGAGCTCTGGCTGTCACCACCTGCCTCATCACTGCCAGTCAATGGAAAGTACCAAGTGGATGGTCTGGCTAGTGTTAGGATAGGGATGGGGCATGTTATAGCTTGTGTCCAAATGCCAGCTCAACACCTGTCAAGGGCCAGGGAAAGTAACATGACTTTTCTAGCCAGCCTTCAGCCCATCTCCCCTGCCTCCCAAACCCTTTTAGTCTAGCTGAAACCTGTTATTGAAAGTTTTGACTTTGGCTTAGTCTGTTTTCTAAAGCCAGAACTATTCCTTTTTCTCCCCAGGAGAGTGTGTTTTCTCTTACCTTAACTGATCTGATAGGGGAGAAAGGGTGATTATTACACATATGAGATACTATAGCCTTGTGATGTACAATACCAGAAGGTGGATTCACAGAATCAGAAACAAGCTGATTTGGAGGAATGAAAAGAACAACCCACTATGGCTGTATGCCCTTTACTCATGTCCCAACTCATCCTAATCCTCTCGTATACTTTCATCTGTTTGGGTAGACACTTGGGGAATACAGAGTCACTCAATGTGAGACCTGCAATGACTTAACCTCCCTCCACATTCTATAATCCCCTGTATACCATTCCTGGCAGAGGTTCTGGCCCAGTTAACATACCTCTTTGGACAAGAATAGACTTAGGTATTGTCTCTCCAGGTTAACTATCCTTAATGCCCTCAACTGATGTCCATAAAGCTTCTCCTCTGTTTCTTTTAGAAAGTCATTCTCTACTAGATTACTGTCTTTATTCCTAATTCAGAATTTTTTTTTTTAAGCCAAAAAAGCCTTTCTCTTGTAGAGATGAAATTCCCCTTTAGCTTTTGACACCTCAGAGAGAGGACAATTGGGGGCAAAAGATGGTAGATGGGGAACATATTTTGCAACTGTTACAACTGTTTTCAGTGGTTAGCCCTGCTAGACTTTATGGCAGGAAAAAAGCCAGCTTTGTTCCCTGTCTGCCCTAAAGTTCAGTCCCCTCATCACTGTGTGTTAGACTCCCTGAGAACTCCAAGCACAGACCCCTTAGTGTTCCTTAGATTCTGCAAGGCTTCCTGGCTTGCCCTGAAAGGGAAAGCCCTTATGTTCATCTCAAGGATTTATAAGGATGAGGTCTTAAAGTTCCAGAGCCTCTCCCTGGCAAAGATGAAGGAGGTAGTTCTTTTCAAGTCCCAAGGTTACTATTCATCTTTTTTGTGTGGTTTGCTAATAAGCAGGGCCATGCCTTATATGCCAAATGAAAGTTCTTGATTCACAGAAATGGTTCAAATGGAGATCCCTTTTGGAGTAGGGAGTGGGAGGGGGAACAAACATGATCTCTGTCCCACAGTACAACACTGGAATGCTATGACAGAGAGTCTCCATTGGTGGATTAAGCAGGATCACCAACTGACCAAGCAGGCCTGGGGCAGAGGATGTAGGGTCAGAGAGGAAGAAGGGAATTGAGCTAGACGTTGTCATAAAGGAAAAACATTAGCTGTAGCCTCTGCACCAACCAACCATGCCATCTCTCTGCTCCTTCTGACATCCTAGCATGGCCTCAGAGAAGGCTAGTGTTAACCCAGTCTTACCGCAATCTTGAGGAAACCAAAGGAATGGAAGGGGCTGGTGAATAATTATAGGAACAACACCTTAGTCTGAGGAGTGCTTCACACTCTTCCAGAAGGCTATTACTTAATCTCACTTACATTTTATAAGTACCATATTAGATATCCTGGTCAGGAATAATTATGCCCATTTAAATTTCCTATTGAAAAACTCACTCACCGGGCATCTAACTAGTCCAGTGACATGTGGCAGGGCCAGGGCTAGAACCCAAAACAGTAGGATCTTCTGACTGTTGATCCATAGATTTGTTACTTTCTCAACTTGATAAAATGCCCTTGTTTCTGCTCTTCCCTATTTGGTCAGCAGACTTTGTAGACAAGGGGTTATCAATTAAAATTCAGCTGCTCTAGCCCCACAAAGCAGGTCCACAGTTCAATCCCAACAGAGTCTCTGGGGTTGAAATGCTGAGGCCCTCTTTAGGGCTCCATAATCACCATGTGGCTCAGAATGTAAACAGCAGAGGAACTAAAGTCCCCACTCGATCACTTACCATCTCTTTATGGTTGGGGTAGTATGTCTGCTCAATGAGTGGGAACTTTTCTCCTCCCAATGTCTTGTAGATGGCCACCAGCTGGGCAAACTGCAAAAGAGAAGTGAATGTTTCAGCTTATCTAGACACTGCAACAGACAGACAAACATCAGTCTACCAAACAAATATTTATTGAGCATTTGCTCTGTTTGGGACTTTGTACAAAACACCAAGGATATAAAAGAGGTGTACAATTCTTATTTTTAAAGAACGCATGTGTTAGTTGGGGAAGGGAGAGCGAAGGCACTAACATTCATTCAGTACCTATACAATTTTAATGATATTTCATTCATTCCTCATATCAAATTGATAAACTAGGTATTTTATCATCTTTATTTTACACATGAGGCTCAGAGACAGTAGAAAAGGTGCCTGAAGTCACAGACCTGCAAAGAGGTGAAGCTGGGATTGAAATTTGGATCTCTAACCTTAAACACTTGTATCTCTAAAGATGACAATTGATAAAGCTAGATAGGTAATATGGGGACAAGTCTTGAAAGTTCAAATGCTAAGAAAGGAATGGTAACTGTTTTCTGCAGGCAGTATGGAGTCATAAGAATTTGAGCAGGGGTCATGAATAAAGCTGTTCTTTAGGAAGATTTTGATGCTCATGTTATGCAGGATAGATAGACCTAGTCTCTCTAGGACTTACTACTCATCTAAGAACTGAAATCACTAGATCCTTCACCTAGGAGAATCCAGAACAACTCTATGAAGAAGAGGTAAGAGGTGAGGTACACATACTTACAGTGTGAGGGTTGAAAAGTGTTTGGCAAACATCTAGCACCCCCTGGAGTCCCCTGCCCCCACATTTTATAAGTGAAGAAACTGAAGCCCAGAGGGATCACTTGCCCAAGGTCGTATCATAGTTGAGCTGGATTCATAGCCAGGCCCCTTTATTTCCAATCTGTAACTCTTCCTGCTCCTTCACATGGCTGCCTTTCAGACTCTGCAGAGACCATGCTCTTCCCGTAGGAAACACACAGGACTTTTCTGCTCAATCCATTCAAACACACACCCACCCACACACCTATCTCCAGTGCACTGGCAACAGGGGTAATCCAGCATCTTCCCTCTAGTGCTACTTAGGTTAGTTTACACTCTAAATCACTGATATCTGGAACTGCTAGAAGGAAAAGTTGCCAGGTCAATTGCCTTCTATTTATCAGAGAAAGGAAAGCTAACATTTTTCAAAAGCTCAGGTCCTATTCTCTATAAGAGATGTTGGTAGATGAGACAATGGGACAGGGAGGTATGCGGAGAGGAGTAGAAACTTAGAACTGGGCTGTTGGAAGACTGGGTTAGAGTCTTCTGGTTCTTGTTCTGCTTTTAACTCGCTAGGTGTCCTTGAGCAAATGATTTCTCCACTCCAGGCCTCATTTTCTTCATATATAAAATGAAAGGAGTGAATTTGATCAGTTCCTCAAAATTTTTACCATAAAGGAACATCATTTTATTATATTTCCTCCCAAACTCCATTATCAAACTCTAGTTTAAGTGATCATATATTGTGATCCTTTTGTTGGCAAGGATAGAATTTTATTATTTTTGAAATGCTGGAAAATGTTGGAATTTCTGGGTCACTCCCCTTTGTGACACAGCTGGTGACTGTAGATCTTGAAGGCCTCCTCCAGAACTGAAAGTATGAATCCGGGACTCTCAAGCCCTCAAGGTTTTGTTATTGAAAGAGACTTTTAGAGAGTCTCTAGACCAGACATCTCATTTTACACATGAGGATACTGAGGCTAGAGAAGCAAAGGAAAGCATAGGTTCCCAGATCATGCCTGGAATTGGGAACTGCACTAGGACAGCAGCCAGGTAGGTCTCCCTGCCCATTGCATGCTCCACTGTACCCTGCTGTCCTCGCTATTTGGTTTTTCAACTTGCTTTGACTGTCAAGATCAACCCCTCAGACTTTTCTTGCCCTCTCTGATTCTCTCCATCACTCCATCTGACCTTTAAGTCCTGCCTGCCCACCTGGGCTGGCCTGGATTCCTTTTCTGCCCCTGGATACCTGCCTGAGCTCCCAAGATTCTCCAGCATCGCCGGCGAGCTCATGCCAGCTCTGCCTAACAACCTCTGTCCTGCTGCAGCCCACGCCCTGGCATGGCACCAAGGCATGTGGGGCCTTATCTTTCCAGCATGTGGGAGAGTTACACAGACACCACAGCGATGCCAGGAAGGCCCACGGCAAAATCCCAGAGTCCTGGGACAACAAGACTAAAATGGCAGCCAGTTCCCAGGCACTAGTTAGGTCCCTGGGAGCTCACCCTACCCTCCTCCACTTTATCTCCAGCAGTCCCTATCTGCTCAAGGTACTTAGCTTGGCATCTAACCCCTGCCTCCTTGGAAACTTAGCACAAGCACACAGTTACCAATTAAACAAATGTAATATCTGATAAGGGTTATTTCCTGTATGCATAGACAAAAGAATGGATTTAGGAGCTAGGGGTGGTGTTGGCAATGAATAGGAAGAATATGTTCATTATCACCACTTCTTCAGTGAATCGGGAAAGACTTCTTGGAAGAAATGAGATTTCAGGATCAGTCTGAGTTTAATATGTTATCCTTAGCCCTCCTGGAAATAAATGCTTTAATTCAACTCTTGTGCCTTTGTCTCTAAAAAACCCAGATGGAGTGCTAGGATTTTTAGATAAATTTGCAGCAATATGGGATGGTGGCATTCTTGCTTTCTCTGGAATGCTACCTTCACTGATAGGGCTACTTCTGCTTCCAAAACCCCAGGGCACAGCCTGCCCTGACCAATTTATAATAGCAGATGTGCTCAGAGACACAGTAATGCAAGGTAGAGCCTTAACAACCCCACTGAGGTCTCCCCTCATACCAAGAGCAGTCACAATAAAGAAATATAGAAAATATGAACAAAAGTCATCATCTCAGAGGGACCCTCCCTTCACAGTCACCAAATTTGTTCACTCCCATTAACAAGCAGAGAACAATATATAAAATGCCATTAGTGTGGCAGCTGCTTAATGAAAATGAAGGGAGAACTTGGTGTCTGGCCAGGGAGCCTTGCTGTTCTCATGTGATGCCAAAGGCAATGTGCTGGGATTGTGAATGGGTGAGAATGTGAACCTTCACCAGATCCCAGATCCCAGGAAGGGCAAGGCCCTAGGCATAGGCTCACTGATCCTCCCACCCTGGCTTCTGGCATAGTTTTGGAACATGAAGGAGGGGGCTATTTTCTTTAAGAGATCCTAAATACTAGGGGACTATAACAACAAGGCTGGCAAACTGGTGGCAGGTGCTTTACAGAGAAACCAGGCACAGAGAGGTTTACTTAGAAGAAAATAACTAGCAATAGCAGAATCATTCTGTGTGGCCATGAGGGAGCCAAATTCTAGCAGGTATTGAAAGGGTTGGGAAGGAAAGAGCTAGGGCTTATGTGCAGTAGGGAAGGTTGAGAGGGGGTCCTAGAAAAGAAACTTGGTGAAGGCCTCAAATATGCTCTTCTGTGATTAGTAACACATTCAAATCATACAACTCTTTTAGCTTGTTTCTGCAAAACTCTAGGATTCTTAGATGCCTCAGGCCAGAGGCATCTGAATGAGTGATGATCAGGAACCCAACCCTCCCTCCTCAACCACAGCAGCTCCCACTGACTCCTCGCTCATTGGTCTTTCTCTTACACTGTCAGATCTCCCTGGTTTCCAAGGGAATGGGAAAACTGTGAGTTCGGGTGTGAGGAAGAGATCAAAAGCAAAGGTGATGGGTCCATCTGGTTAAAAAACACCCTCTCGGGCGCCTGGGTGGCTCAGATGGTTAAGCGTCTGCCTTCGGCTCAGGTCATGATCCCAGGGTCCTGGGATCGAGTCCCACATCGGGCTCCCGGCTCAGCGGGGAGCCTGCTTCTCCCTCTGACCCTCTCCCCTCTCATGCTGTTTCTCTCTCGCTCGCTCTCTAAAAAATAAATAAAATCTTAAAAAAAAAAAAAAAAAAAAACACCCTCTCTGGGGCTCCTGGGTGGCTCAGTCGTTAAGCGTCTGCCTTCGGCTCAGATCATGATCCGTCCTGGGATCGAGCCCTACATCGGGCTACCTGTTCAGTGGGGAGCCTGCTTCTCCCCTGCCTGCTGCTCCCCCTGCTTGTGCTCTCTCTCTCTGTATCAAATAAATAAATAAAATCTTAAAAAAAAACCCACCCCCTCCAACTCCCTGGGTGGTAAAGAGGCTTGGGGTCTGAGAACTTCAGAGTGACCCTTGGCAAGCCAGGGTGATAGCTGAAGTGGTTTTTGAAAAACAAGAGGAAGAGGATGTGATTGGGAGCAGGTGTTTCCTTCTAAGAGGGCAGCCTGGAGCAGCAGTTATAGGAGCTGGGTCCCCACTGGCCTCAGGCCTTTCCAAAGAACATTCAGAGGCAAGAAACAGGTATTTTTATTCTTGTATCTTATATGGCTGAGGGCACAGCTTGCAGACTTATAAGGACTTCTTTACAGAATCTTTGTGTGACTTTGTTGTGAGGCCAAAAGTCTACTCTACATCAAAGGCAGCCCAGCCCTTAATGATAATGTTTTATTGTGAGAGCCCACCCTAACCCATGTCTCATCTGAAATTCCTCTCACATCCTCTCAGCTGTGCCTAGTGCATCTTGATTACCAGTGGTCCCTCCTGGGGGACTGGGAGATACAGGACCTGGATCCTACCCTTTTACCTGGGAGGAAGGGGGCCTCACTCACCACCCATGGCTTGTCACAGAAGTTGTAAATGGATTCCAGTGAGTTGATGCTGGGGAGGCCTGCGTACTGCATGCCAATGACAAGGTGGCGGAAGTCCTCATTCTCTGCCATGCCGAATGCATGCTGCCGGATAAGCACAAAGTCTGGCCGGAAGGACCTGGTAAAAATGTAGAGGCAAGTTTCCCATCAACCAGCCCCTCAGGTCATATATCATCTTGTCTCCTATTTCCAAAGCCCTAGACAGAGAAGGGGTATTAAGGGTCACCTGATGTAAGCCCTTCATTTTATTATTCTTTTATGGACTAGGAAGTGAGGTATTATGGCACCTCTTAAAGGAGATTTAAGGAACAGATGCCTGAAGTTCCCTTATTCCTCTGGATTAAGCACTGTCTTTTTCTAAGGTACAAATCCCCTCAGGAGGGAAGAAACACTTTCAGACCCTCACATCTTAAATGAACAAGAATTTACCTGGTCCCTTTGGGGCAATAAGAGAGCAGAAGCTCCTTGTGGCTTCAGAGTTTGTGCTCGAAGAGCGCCCCAGTAGACTTTGAAGACATATTTGCCTGACTTCACCACCCTGCCACAGAGATCCCTGATCTCAGTGTCCTGTTCTGACTCCTTAAAACTGCTCCTTAAAAAGCAATGCCCTCATCAGGCCCCAAGAAGAGCAAGGGTCCAGGATGGCTGAGAACAGATGCCAAACTTCCCAATATTATTCTTCCAAAGTGTACACTAGGGAGGGGTGCAAATATTTCTCGAAGAACTGAGGTTGAGCAATGGCTACAGGAAGCACTGGAAGTACAGAATGTTCCCATGCATGGGAAGGCTCCCTGCGTTTTCCCTCCAGCCAGCAAAGCTCCTCAGCTGCTCTATCTTCATGCCCTGACTCCAAGGGAACCCCACCTTCCCAGAGAGTCAGTTCTGTAGCAGCGTTCTCCCTCAAGGCTCTGGAGCCTGCCAGTTTCACACCATATGCAATGACCCACCAGGTTCTCTGCCCAGGCACCCATTCAACCCCTACCTACAGCTCCAGTACCACCTGGGCTCAGAGATCAGTCTTCTAAAGTGAGGGTGGAAGAAGCCCTCCTCAGTCACTAAAGGAATGTAGCATCAAGTCAGTGTGGCTGTGCTGGAGCTGTTCTGATCTCCTTGTGCCCCAGTTCTGGGAAACTGGCCCCAGGTGTATGCTTGATTTTCCTCTGAAAACTGTATGCCAGTTATAGGAACTAAGCCCTAGATTTCCTACACTGGCCAGCTCTTAAGTTCCTACACATGTACCTGGAAGGGCCTGCCTTAGTTTTGCCAGATCCCTCTTGGCACCCTTCTATGACCTTTCTGTCACCACCTACTTGTGTCCATGCATCCTTATGACTCACTCTACCTGCAGTTGGAGGGGCCCATCATTCTCTCTTGAGCTCGCTCCCCACTTGGATGGACATCTGTTTTTCTGTCCTCCTCATCTCTAGGATGGAGGAGTTTACATTTCCTCTTGTTAGGTTCCAGACACCTGAGTTTTGCCTTCCCTGTCACTGAGCCAGTTCCTATTGGACATCAGAGACCTCAGTGTCAGGATGCTGTAGATTGAGGTAGGGAAGAGGATGAAGTGAAAATGCTTCCCGGCGCAAGATTCTGTATCTGAAAACCTGACACCATGCTGAGCTCCTGGGGAAAATGACACTGTGGAAACTGTTTTTCCCCATCTGGAATTCTTGTTACTTCCCTCACAGAATTATTTTATTAAATTTGATCACATCTGTAAGTTACCCAGCACACTACCTGGCCTGTGAGTGCCCTGTACCTGCAAATTTTCTTCCATCCACAATGTCCCTTCCAACCTAGACTTTCCTGACTTACGAATTCCCAGGACTGAGGAACATAGAAAGAGTACAGGGCTGGGAGTTAAGAGAATTCACATAGAAACACAAGGGTCTGCTACTAACTCACTGAGTGAATCTAAGCAAATCAATGTAAAGTAGGAGGTTGAACTAGATCAGAGGTTTTCAAACTTTTTTTCTTTTTAAAGCAATGGAATCCTGTTTTCCAGGGAAAATACATACAGCGATAAAAGCACAAAAATCACACTGGTGGAAGTGGGGCTGGAATCCTAGAACCCCTCTGGTAGGAATCTGGTCACCTCTAAATGAGTCCTGCATCCTTTCTCTACCATTGGACTAAGAGCTCCCTGAGAGCGGGAGCTGGTTTTCTCTGCCTTCTTCTGCCACTTCTACGTCTACACAGCATACATCATTAACTCCTGTGCTATATATATGGCACTGCCATTCCACTCTGACACTTGACTTTGAAACCACCTATGCAAACCAGAGACAGTAACTCTGAAGACAGTGACAGTGACCCTGAGGATAGAAGGGACCTTACCGGACAACCTTTGTGCCATTCCGGAGCACCTGCATATCCACAGCATAGGTCCCATCTGCATGGGCCACCAGGTTGAGCTCTGAAAATACCGCCTGGAAAATAACAGTAGGGGATTAAGAGGGTAGATTTCATGTTATGTGTTTTTTGTTTGTTTGTTTGTTTACTACAATTAAAATTGTAAAAAAAAATTAAAAATAAATAAAAATAACTGTAGGGAAATAAGCCCATTGTCCTGGCTTTGCCAAGTTCTCCACAGAACAGCAGCAGCCCTCCCACCAAATATTTATTCAGTTTTCTAAGCATTTTCACAAACTGATTTCATCTCACTTTCATAGCAACTCTGTGAGGGAGGAAGGACAGAGATAATTCTCCCTGTTTACCAAAGAAGCAGTTAAGTGACTTTCTGGACAAAATTTATTGTTGGCAGAGACAAGAGCAAAGCTCAGGTCTTCTGACAACTCTGTGCTGCCTTTCTATAGAGAGGGAATGCACACTGGGGCAACATGCCCTCTGTCAGTCTCAACATAAAAACACTAGATTTTAGTTTAGGCAACTGGGTGTTACTTCTGCTCTGCCCCCAGTTAGCTCCATGGACTTTAGGCAAATCACTTGTCCTCCTGGGGGTGGGGTAGGGGGAGGAAGAATTTCTTTCATCTATAAAATGGGAATAATTTTTAATCAACCTTGCCTATACAACAAGTTGTTTTAAGAACTGAATACAGTAATGAGTAGGAAAATGCTCTGTAAATCACAGCACACCGTGTAAAGAATGATGAGTAACTTCTATTACTACACAGAAAGTACCTGCATTGTTTAAACTGGACATCCCCCTCTCCACACAAATGGACTTAATTTCTATTTATCAGGAAGCAAAGGGTAGAGGAAGATTTAAAAAAAAAGGGGGGGGGGCTTTCAGGACTTCACTACATTAAAAGAAGTAGGGGTGTGTGTGTGTGTGTTTTAATTCTCTCTGAAGTGTAGCTTCTTGCCCAGAGTAGGCAGCATTGGAGGCTGCAAAACTGAATGGCAGATATGTGCCAACCCAGGAATATCATGCCATCAACAACATGGAGTTGTGGCCAGTGTCCCAGGAAGACATTCCCCTAAGGTTTTCCTCAGCCTGAGAAAGCAGAAGAGAGCCCTAAGAACCACATTCCTCACTACTTTACAGACACCAGCACCATGAAAAGAAGTCAGGGAAGTTAAAAAGCAGCCTTCACGGCCATATCTCATAGAGAGAAAAGCCTCAGGGAACAGGGTGAGGGAGAGTAGATGGAGGGCCTGGAATCCAGTGACAAACACTGTACTCCACTCTGAAGACTAGATGATTCACTCTGGGATGTCAAGAGAGAACAGTGATGATGCAGATGTAACTCTGGGCTTTTGGGTAATTACCTGTTCCACTTTGATGTCATAATCTCCAAAGACTTTTTTACCCCGGAAGCACTTGGCCCTGGAAAAGGAAAACAAAAACAAAACCAAAACCAAAATCAAACCAAACAAAAAACACGCAAATTAGTTTTGTACAAGTGTTTGAGATCAGAAATTTACTATCATAAAGAAGAAGACTACAGCAGGCAGACCCCAGAATGAAAGTCAAGAGACCTGGGATAGGGTTGGACCCTAATTCAACCTAGATCATCATGAGAGATCCTCAAGCAAACCACTTCCTCTCTTTTACGCTCAGTTTACCCATCCATAAAATAATCCAACGCACTTTTTCACTCCCAGGTTTTGGGATTTTATAGTACCCTTTGTCTTTGGGCTACAAAAGAAGTTTAGAAGTAGGAATTTCCCTAATGTGATTCCTGGTAAAGACCAGGTCAGTACCACACATCTCTACACTTTCCTTATCTTCCCCCATCACTCTGATTTTCTAGTTGGGTTCTACCCTTGGAATTTTAGTTTTCAAAGAAACTGTTACCATTTTACCTCTTCATACCTATACTTCCAAAAAGGATTTGAGGCAATTAATAATTTAAAAGGCAAATATAACCAACAAAGTAAGGATTAAAGGACAATCAGTGAATGACAGAGCAGAAAAGAAATTTTAAAAGGTAGGAGGCTGAGAAAAGTTACTATAATTGAACACAAAACCTATTCTGTATTTCTGAATTTCAGTCAAGAAAACTAGTCAGGCTTAGTTATACAGTACTTACTATCTTCCTATCTTGTCACGGATCTAAAGGAACCTCACATTAATGCATCAAGGACTTCAGAGCACCTTGTAAGTAGTCTGTGTTTATGTTTACATTGATATCCATTTCTACTTTGCCCTTAATCTCCCCCTCTCCACCCCCCAAAAGATTTTCTTACCCATCCGCTTAGGCTAATTCTCCACATGTATAAAAGGCCTTTCTACGCTATACCTGTTAGTGAGGTTGGTCTTTCCCAGTGCTTGAAATTTCAAATTAGCATATTTCACTGGAGGTTTCTAAAAGTCCCTCTCCAAAATAAAGGGATAAACTAACATTTATTGGGCATAATGTTCTAGGAATTGTGTGCAAGTTGCTTTCAAGAACATCTCATTTAATCCTAATAACAATTTATGATATAGGGAGAAAGTTCTTCAGTTTTGAGATGAGGAAACCAAGACTCAGAAGGGAAAAATAGTGTATTCAAGGTCACATGGCAAGTTAGTGACAAAGCCAGTATTCACATCCAAGTCTGAGTCCAGTGCTCCTGGGGCTGTATAGTCATCTCCCTTTGCTGATTCATTCCCTTCATCTTCACTCCCACCATTACAAAAACTGACTTGTCACGTGTGCTGCATTGCATGTTTTTTTCCCCATTTTCCTTCTTCCGCTCAAAAGGGACTTGATGTTGTGAGCACTAGTTCTACTACAAATACTTCCTACCCTGGTTCCTGTGAACTACCCAGGACAAGGCCAAGCTATTTCCTTTCCTCTCTGCTGGAACAGTCCGTTCTAGGAAGTTGTCATTTGTCCTATCCAAGTCCCTGGCCACCCTCAAATTGTTCCTCAGAGGCAGTCAGCCATCCTGGAGCTGGATCACTGAAGCCTATCACCCAACCTTTGCCCCAATAACTCACTAAGCTTCATCAGCTTGCTTCCAGGACCCTGTTCAACATTTATAGCTCAGCAACCATCTCCAGCAAGGGGCCTGTACCTTATCCTGTCCCTTTGGCTACTATTCTAATTTATTTACGGACTTAAATGATAATCTACACATGGCACTATCACTGCTCTGTAGATCTTAGACTCCGTAGGCCTTTGTTCAGGACTAGAAAAAAGGAGAAATGCAGTAAATGACCCTGGAGGTTCCTTTCTTGTATTGACAAGGTGTGTCTACCTTATTACCCGCAATTGTCTTCCTGATGCTTCCTCCTATCTTCCTGTCTCAAAATAGCTCCTGTTCTGTGAGGTAAGTCTCAGAGACATTAACAATAACCTCTCATTCTGTATGATACCTTGCACTTTCAAAGCACATTCCTTGCCTTATTTGTTCCTTACAACTTAGTGAAGCAGCCAAGGCAGATAACACTGTTCATTGGACTGATGGAGAAATTGAAACCCAGAGCAGTGAAATAATATGCCCAAACCACAGAAAAGTTCATAGGAGCTAAGCTTAGAACTAAGAGTTTACATCTAGGTGCTTATGTGTTGCCAAGTATTTTAATTCACTCACTTATTTTGTGAGTTTACAATACTGATATTGAAGTATATTTATAGATTCTGGCTGGGTTTATCTGCCACTTCCTGCACCTCCCCATTGACAAAGTTGGCTAATGATACTGTTTTCATGCCTTCTCCCCGCCCCCACCTCTCCAATGACCTTAATGCCTTTTCCTTAAGGTAATTTGTCCTGTTGAAAATCTTAGTCTGTGTTTCCTGACTCCAGGTCACTGACCTCTGTTGGCTGAGCACAATCTTTTGGAAAAGGACCTAAGATGGCAGACAGATGGGGCACAGAGCCTTCTTCTGGACAATGAGCACATTTTCCTAGCTCTAGCCCTTGGAAATTTAGGTTCCAGGTATTTTCATGAAAAATTTTGTGACTTATAAGCAAGTGACAGAAGTACCTCCTCATACTAAGAGAGCACTGTTAGGAGCACGTGTTAGAATCCAGGGGAGTTGTGAATCACAGGGCTCTGAAATTATAGTCTGGGTGGGAATCCTAGATGTACCCTTTTCTGGCTCTGTGACCTTAGGCAAGGGGCTTAAATTAAAAAAAAAAAAAAAAAGTATGTCATATGGTGAAATCAATCAATCTACCTTCAAAAGTACATAAAAGAATAAGATAAAAAATAAGTTTCTCCTTTCTCATTTCTTTTTCATCACACATAATCCCCACAATCAGTTGCAAGCATATTCTTCCAGTGTGGGGAAAATGTCTGCACACATATATGCTTCAAACATACATGTAGCATCATGCTATGTAAACTCTTCTTTTTTGAACCTTGATTTTTATTGCACTCAAAAATACATCTTAGTGATATGCTTCCAGCACATACTGATGGACTTCTTTCTTTTTAATAGTTGTATGAAATTCCATTTGAAGATCATATAGTAATTTCACCAATATATATTGGTGAGCATTTAGATTTCCAGTTTGGGGGTTGTTTTTGCCATTATAAACAGTGCTATAATGGCTAATAGTTAAGAATATATCCATAGCAGGGGATCCTGGGTGGCGCAGTCAGTTAAGCATCTGACTCTTGGTTTCAGCTCAGGGCATGATTTTGGGGTCCTGAGATCGAGCCCTACATTGGGCTCCACGCTGAATGTAGAGTCTGCTTTCTCTCTCCCTCTGCCCCTCCCTCTCTTCTCTAAAACAAATAAATAAATCTTAAAAATATATATATCCAGGGGCATCTGAGTGGCTCAGTTGGTTAAGCATCTGCCTTCCGCTCAGGTGATGAGGTCCTGGGATGGAGCCCCACATCGGGCCCCTGCTCAGTGGGGATCTTTCTTCTCCCTCTCCCTCTGCTGTTTCCCCTGCTTGTGCTCTCTCTCTCTTTCAAATAAATAAATAAAATTTTTAAATATATATATATCCATAGAATATATATATCCACAGAATATATATATATATATATATATATCTCCATAGAAAAAAAGAATACATCCATAGGATAAACAACTTATTTTTTCCAACTGTACTGAGATATAATTGACAAATAAAATTGTATATATTTAAAGTGTGCATCATGATGACTTAATATACCTATACTTTGTGAAATGGGATTACCACACTCAGGTTAATTAACACATCTATCACCTTGCATAGTTACCATTTTATGTGTGTGTGGTGAGAACATGCAAGATCTACTCTCTTAGAAAATTTCAAGTATACAATACAGTATTATGAACTATAGTCACCATGTCGTACATTAGAAGGATAAACAATTTATTGCAGAATTGCTGGTGCAAGGAACAGACACAGTTGCAGTTTTTACTGATATTGCCACACTGCCCACCCCCCCATAAGGAAAATATACCACTCTTCTCAGTGTTTGAAAGTTTGGGAAAGTTATTTCACCTCCCTTAGTTCCCTTCTCCTTCCTCTAACCCCCACAGTTCCTTGCATAAACTGGGCACAGAGGAGAACTTTCTGACTGGCGGTCTTGTCAAATCAGCCCAAATTCACCTCCTTTGCTCAATCCTAAACAGAACCCAAGATGTACATCCTTGAAGCACAGACTAAAAATATCCATGGTGCCTGTGTTGTTAATTTCCCCCTATTGTAACATTTTCTTAATAAGCCTAGCAGCTGAGGATCTATGTGAGTTTAATGGCTTGCAGCTTCCTTGATGGGCCAGGCAATGAACCATCTCACCTTATTGCTAAAATGAGTAGAGGCTTCTAGATTTAACTCTTCTTACTCAAGGCAATGAATACGCTCACCAATTCCTATCCAACCAGGGCTTGTGAGGCTGAGGAGCATGATTTCAGACACTTCTCTGCTAAGGCTGCCTCAAAACTTGGCCCAACTTAGGCAAGCCCAACTTAAATTCTCCCTGTTTTATGCATGGGATAATGGAGAAGGTCTAGAAATAGGAGCCAGTGGAGTGGGGTTCAGGCATAGTTCTACCACTTTTTAACTGTGTAACTTTGGGCAAGTAATTGCCTCTCTGAGCCTTAGTTTCCTCATGTATAAAATAGGGTTAATGATAATTGTAATACTAAGAGCAAGCATTCATTATGTACTAGCCACTATTCTCAGTATTTTATGTATTTTACCTCATTTATTAATACCTTACTCACAGGTTGTTGTGAAGACTTAATGAAGCCAGATGAGACTAACTGACATGAAAGTGTTCCGGAAACTCTGAAATGCTATGCAAATATGAAGTACTATTAGCAAAATGCAATAGTACTTGTGTGTGTGGTGAGAACTGGGAGAACTGAGAACCCACTGGCACTGGTCTGGATACTTATCTTTAACATAGTGCTTAGCTTCTGGCACTCACTGTCTCACTGGCCTTGTTCC